AGTCCCTGAAGGGCGGTATGTCCAGGCACAACCACGGACTTAAAATCGAACCACGGACTTAAAATCGATTTTAAGTGTTTTTTGGATGCGTTCTCCACGGGCAGCTTGAACATTGAATTTAAGTCTTCCATGTCCGCCTCATTGCTACTAGCTGCAACCACTGTTTGTTTGGCTCTAGCGAAGCTGCTTTCTGGGCCTTTGTGCGCAGGCTTTGGGACTCTGCTCCAAAGTTTTTGTTCCTCCGGGCTTATAAAGGGACTTCTCCCAGAAGTATTTTTTTTCACCTGGCTTTGTTAAAGGGTGCCTTTAGGTTTGAGATGGACCAGGCCTCCATGTAATTTCTCCTAACTCCCTTCAAATCTTTTGTTCCCTGGCATTGTGTAGAAGTTTGAAGAGGACCCGATGTGTAAGTCATTTCTTGTTACTTGGGATTTCGTAGGGACCTTTGCAAAGGAACTCTCCTAAACGTCATTCTTCTTAACTGGCATTGATCAGGGGCCTTCAGGTTTGCAAGGGACAAGATGCACGTTTAATTTCATGTTACTTGGCATTTCGTAGGGGCCCTTTGGAAATGGAACTCACCTTCAAATCTTTGTTTTACCTGGCATTGTTTTTCAAATTATGAGGGGCCTGATGTGTAAGTCACTTCTTGTTACTTGGGATTTCGTACGGGCTTCGCAAATGAACCCTTCTAGACGTCAATGTCATGTTTGGTGGCAGTGTTCAGGGGCTGCTAATTCTTGCAAGGGACCTCATTGGAATTGGAATGCTCCTGGAAATCCATCTCATTTAGCTGGCGACCTGTAGGTTTGAAGGGGACCGTCTCTTTTCTTGTTACTTCAAACTTAGTAGGGGCCTTTCTATACGTTTGTTTCTTATTACTCTGAATCTCACAAAAGTTTCTAGATGAGTGCAGCAGGGTCTTAAGGTGTCCTTTCCTTCCACAAGCCCCACGTAGTTGTCGCAAGTGTTTACCATGGATATAGACTTAAATCTGGTTCTAAGACCTACGGGACAAACTCTTGCATGAGGATAACTTGAAATCGATTGCAAGTTTTTACCATGGAGTATAAGCTTGAAATTGGTTTTAAGCTGTACAAGAAGTCTCTCATACGAACAAGACTTGAAATCGATTCTAACCGTTTGTCATAGAATAAAAGCGTAA